ATCATGTGATTACGTGCTGCGTGAACACAATTTCTAATGGTATGCCAACGTTCAAGTTCAAAGATGACTTATAAATTTACGAACATATTTTTTCTTTTATCATTATTATTGAATGCTTCATTTATAAGGGACTGATTTGCACTACTTCATGACACGTTGGCGAGACAATCTGTTGATATATGTAAATAGTTATGTTTAAGTAACATCTCAAGGTACTAACTACTTTTGTGGGGGGCACGGGTGGCCCAGTCGTCTAAGGCGCCGCGATTCGCTGTGCAGAGTGATTGTGGGTTCGAATCCCGGTTCGCCTCGATTTTGTTCTAGGTTTGTCAGCACCATACACCTGCTCGTGGGTTTCACCGAAATGGTAAACGTCTGAGACCTGCATCACTTCGGGCTTTCCTCCCACATTAAGCTGACACGCCGTGATATAACTGGAATACTTTTAAAAGCGGCGTTAAAGCCAACTCACTCACTCACACTACTTCTGTGCACTACATCATATGTTTTATATGACCACGACGTATTCTCACTAACAATGTGACAGATAAACCAACATGTGTTATGTGTGGTATAGGAAATAAACATTGTAGGAACGCAGGACCCCTAGGCCTAAATACTCATCCAAAGTGAGTTTTACTTGGGCTGTCGACAACTATATAAAGCAATGATCCCAGAGTCGAAGACAATTAACGAATAAGAATGATTACAAGCATCTATTTAACATAAACATCACAGTTCCTACTCATAATCTGCAAAGAAATTACGCATTTCTAAGTTTTTACATCAGTTTTGTATATGAAAAACCTAACAATCACTCAATGAATTACAAATAAATGCACCAGAAATAATACTCCAGATTAATTAAATGGTCGGAGTAGAAATCACCAGTAACCAAGACTAGAACACTACCAACTGGCATCATCGGGACTTACTGTGACTGTGGTCTTGCATGCAATAGTATGTTGTACTAGGATTATAGTTGCAGACAAATGCACAAATATCCGAAGCGGCAAATTTCCGGTTAACGTAGAACATCTTATCGATTGCTTAAATAACAAACGCCTCGTGGGTGCATGACAGTAGGCCTTCCTCATCTCTGAATGTCTGATTCGATCAAGGCTTGACATGGGCACACGTTCAATGAATATCAATTACGTATCAATGGTTCGTCATTCAGTATCTCAGTCCAATGCCGAATCCCATACAGGAGTCTGGACTCTCCGACTGTCACCGTCCAAACATTCCTCACCCTGAACAGACAGTGTGGCCATTCGTTTCCCATTCCAATCGCACTCCCCTTGAAGAATTACGGTACGCTACATGGGAATTTAGTGTGTCCTGACAGAAAAAGATATTTCCTGCCTTTAAGTGGTTTCTTTAATAAAACATGTCAGCAGTTAAATAAACCTGACAATCTTAGCGCAGCTGAAGGAGCAACGTTAAATCTACACGAGGTATTCCTTATGTTTGGTCCATTAGGAATGTATATTTTTTCAGCTACAGGTACAAAACCAGATTTTGTTTTCGTTACGACTTTGAGCTTGAATAACGTTTTTAAAGAAAAACAACTTGCAACAATGTCATTTTGGTCGCAGGCAATTTCTCTTTTCTTTAACAGTCTTCAGCATAATTATTTTTTTCCAGAATCTTCGGGTAAAATCTATTATCATATAATGGGCAGGTTTCTCGGCAGGATAAAGCCAACGGATAAAAACGATATCCGTTGGGGTCATATGCGGATAGAGATGCAAATATCAAAGGTCAAGTAGGACTACTTTCACTGTTTATAAACAAACATGGCGTCGTCCTCGTCATTCGGCGATCGAGTCAAAATGAACCATCGGGAATCTGGATAAACAACAGGGATAATTGCTATCATTATCAAAAGAACAGTCTAATATACTGAAAATCAGTGTCTAACTGTGACGTAGCTAAGGCATTTTATAAGTTTTAGCTACTTTGGAGGTATAAATTTCGAAACAATTTTGCGAGGGCCACTCTCCTACCCAGAGTTCCATGCGGCCGGCAGCCAGCTAGCATAGTACCTCTGCCACAGGCCAGCGCCATGTGACGATTCGTCACATCTTTCACAGTTCATTCAAGATATTGCATATGCTTTTCATCCGTTTCATGTTTTACAAGTCTACACATTTTTTCATAAACAAATGTCAAAGAATGGTTAACTTTCATTGAGAAAGTATGCAAATACGTAAAAATCTACTTGTTTTTGCGTAGTTATCCTATGTTTACATTGGTTGTACGGCTCCACGTGCTGTCATCGAAGCCCAACGTAGAGCTAGCGACACGGTCACTTTGATCCATAAATATATATTGTCATGCAACTCACTGTCGCAGTTGTAGTAGCATATCTATATAGTTATGCAAAACAATATGTAAAGCGCCCCCAAATACTTGCATTAGTCCGTTCTATACTGATTTCTGAAAAAGCGCGTTTGTTTACAAACAAGAGAAAAGTCCGGTCACGTGATATGCAAATTAGCCTGTGGCAGTGGTGTTATGCTGAGTCACCACTGCGATGGAGTGTGTGCGAGGGCGTGAGGCCTAGCCAAGCGGGATCAGTAGCAATATCTGTGCTTGTAGACCTCTGCGACTTGAAACCTTCTCCACAAATTAAAATAGTTGGATTTGGCCGAAATATGTTTGAATTGTTACCTTGTTTGGTTTTGTCGCTGTGTGTACATCTGACTACACTTCTTAACGTTATGACAGGACAGACCGACTGTCAACAACGTCTGACCGTGCCCGTGACGTCTCATAGACTAGGGTTAGAGTAGCTTCCCTTTGACAAAGGGCAGTTACTCTAGCGGACAGACCGATGGATTGCCGCGAATAGCAATTAAAAACAACTGTTGTTTTGCGTATATGTTGCTTCACCACTGTATAAGAAACAGATTTCAGTTGGAACAATATTGGCTACTGTCACTGTCCGACTGACACATCACTTACCCTGTGACGTAATAAATATTAATGCGCGCATTCCAGGAAAACTCGCAATGTTTCGGTAATGTTTGTGAGAGAGGGATAGCGATTTTAAAGCACAGAATTAAAGCATGACATTATATGATAAAGAGGTTATCACGCTTGTGTGTTTGGGGATGGTAAATATCCTGTATTAGGAATAAACACTATGTATTTAGCTCGCCAAGGCTCGCTAAATACAATGTTTATTCCTAATGCAGGATATTTACCATCCCCAAACACACTCGCGTGATAACCTCTATTTATTTTCGAAAAATCCCAGCATTTCGGTAAACTTACACCATGTCGTGAATAACAGTGAAATGAAAAACAATATCCTAAAATTGAACACGGATATCATGAAATTATTTAGATATCATGAAATCGAACTAATAATATAAAAGTGAAAACAATTTATATAATTGTAAAAGGGTTAGGATAGATCTTCAGCAACCCATGCTTGTTATGAGAGGCGACTAACGGGATCGGGTGGCCAGGCTCCCTGATTTTGTTGATACATGTCATCGTATCCCAATTACGTGGATCGATGCTCATGATATCAATCACTGAATAGTCCAGGCTCGATTATTTACAGACCGCCGTCACATCTCTACGTTTCATAGTATTACAGATGGACTATGCCCCAGTCTATTGTCAGTCTACGTCTAGACGTTACAGTTGATACCCTGCGTGAAACACACACACACACACACACACACACACACACACACACACAAACACTGTCGCTATGAAATTAGTATAATCATAAAGAGTTACAATGACATACATCAACATTTGAGTTGACAAAGAAACTAGTGTAAGAAGTTAAAGCATTTTTGCTCGGACTGCCAATTTGCTCAAACCTAGCTCCCCTATAACCTCATCAACATCAATCTGTCAGGCTGAAGGTTTCCAAACAAAAACACTTCAAAGTTGTTTGTTTTTCAAAACAGTTGCAAACCTCAAAACGGTAGCTGGTCATGTATTTGACAGGTTTTCACATGACTCGACACTCTGTTCCCAAAGCGCGTTAGGGCACGCAACGGATCTAGCATCAACAGCCAAGGTCAAGTCCCGCGGTTCTGAACTGAGCCTTTGATCTTGATCAAAACAGATGTAGGACGCTGCTCCGGAATCCCAATAAAATGTTATGTGTGTCAGTAGGGTGCGAGTTGGTAACATATTCTGCCTCCAGCGATTCACTCGATCCCATCCAACAAGGAAAAGCGGATAATTACCATATATTTGTTCTCGCCCGAAGACATTCCCCTGGCATAAACCAGAGAAACAATAGGGGCAGCTTATCCCGATCCCGCATGATGGATACGGTTGTACAGGGGTAGGTTTAAGCTGAAGATGAAGAGATTATGATATGGAGGGGGTGGTCGTTTTAAAGCTCGGCACAATTCTTCCCTTTATCCACCTTCCGTCTTATTATTCCTCTTCATTAGTTCTGCTCTCTTCCTTTCTCTCAACACTTTGTATGAACACTAAGAATGCATATGACGATCGGAATACAGCTACTACCTTGACCCCCGACCTCTGTAGCTGAACAGGCTGTTATATTTCACAGTCGTCTGTTTTCGCTTATACAAGCGTGACATACAGAATACATTACTGTACACAAATACACTAATATACATACATAAATACATACATACATACACACACACACATTTTATATATATATATATATATATATATATATATATATATATATATATATATATATATATTGCTCTAACACAACATATATATATTACAAACACACACACATGTGTTTGTGTTTTATTATTAGATAAATATATTTATTAAATCATTTCATGTAAGTCCGGCCTATAATCTTTCAACATTTAAACGAAACCAATAATTATATGTTTAAAATAGAACAATAAATCAATTAGTAAACGGACATTCTTCTCTGAAATTGAAAGTGCAAAATTCACACACGTGAATACAACGCTTCGTTCAGCAAACCGCCTCTACGGCATAGTAAAAATATATTTTTCAAGACTTACCGGTTTTGGATAGAGATGAGAAGGTAGAAGTTGTTGAGTGTCAAAAAATATCGTAGACACTGCCTCAAACACGTAGAACGCGATGAAGAGAATGTCCAGAGACCGTCTTAGACCCGCCATGATGCCAGTGGAATGGCAAGTCGATGCCAGAATATTATATCGTTTCGTCAGGACTGAGCTACCGCCTCGTGTTCTATCCGCGGCTGTGAACACTACGACCTCTCGCTCACACTGACCTAATCGTTGCTGTGGTTGTGCTTATGAAGCCAATGTTTGACGGCGGATCTAATCGCCAGCTGATGCTCTCTCCATGACTACAGTAAGGAGACTGACTGGTCGGTTTCCCTCTCGACAGCTTCGCGTGGTGCGTGTCCTTATATGTAGTGAATGGAGATTTGCTGCCTTATGTGAAGCGAGTGCAACGATGAGCTCTCAACTCGGTCGAACTCTTGACACACAGTAGCCGCCTGTTGAGGAACCGCTGTAGAGCGTTCTTCGCGGATGAGTTGATGTCGGAAATATTTGTTAGTGAGACGGTTTCTTAAGCACGAACGAGTCACACTGTGTTACGCAACAATACTGTGTTGTACTTATTGATATTCCTGTATGTGTACCGCTCAGCCCCCATCTGATAGATTAGCATTACTTAACCCCCAGAAGTAAAGTTATCTTATTCAGGGACCGTCCATAATTTACGGATCGGGGTTGTATGGGGAATTTCCCAGAAAACTTGTAACAATTTAAATGACCCCTCCCTATCCCTTAAACTAAATATTGAATATATTGTAAATAACACCCTAAACAACTCATGTATAAATTCGGGGACACGGGTGGTCTAAGTGAAGTCGCTATGCAGAGTTGCGTCCCTTGGGCACGCCAGAAACCTATGATTGTTGGTTCGAATCCCGGTTCGCCTCGATTATGTTTCTAGGTTTGTCAGCACCATACCCCTGCTCGTGGGTTTCTCCGAAGTGGTAAACGTCTGAGACCTGCATCACTTCGGACTTTTCTCCCACATTAAGCTGACACGATATAATTGGAATACTGTTAAAAGCGGGCTTAAACCAAACTCACTCATGTACAAAATCAGTGTTATATCGATCACATTGACATGATTGACCTGGTTGACTTGATAAAGCACAATGGTGTGATATGACAGATGCTGGAACGTGTCGTATATTTAAGTCCGATTATGGAATACGAATACATAGAGCATCAAACTGAACGAAACATTTGTGCCTCTTAAATACTTCAAGAAATTTGAACATTTTACTGATGAGGACATATCAGCCGTGTCAATTAAAGATGATGAATTACCTAGATGATGACAGAATGGAGATTAAATTCTCATCTATAAATCATTGGATTGACTGATCCAGACTCTTTTGTTGACAGTTTTCATAAGGATGGGATATTTCTGAAAGCGGCGTTAAACATTAAACAAACAAACGATAATATTGTTAAAAGGTTTCTCATGTCACGTGAATGGCCCTTAGTTTTAAGAATGATCAAAAGAGTTTCTTGGGATATTCTTGGCTGCCTGCGTGCATTACGCAATAGAGTGCATTACGAAATGTCTATTTCATTTCTCCCTTAGGTCGTCAGTTTCGGGTGAATGCTTGCATTGTTTGGTGCAATGATGAACGGGAGGCTTTGTTACGTCACACTTGTGATAGTTAAACAGGAGTGAGTGAGTGAGTTGGGTTTAACGCCGCTTTTAACAGTATTCCAGTTATAACACGGCGTGTCAGCTTAATGTGGAAGGAAAGCCCGAAGTGATGCAGGTCTCAGATGTTTACCACTTCGGAGAAACCCACGAGCAGGGGTATGGTGCTGACAAACCTAGAAACATAATCGGGGCGAACCAGGATTCGAACCAAAAATCATAGGTTTCTGGCGTGCCCAAGGGACGCAACTCTGCACAGCGAATCGCGGCGCCTCAGACGACTGGGCAACCCGTGCCCCCGTTAAACAGGAACAGACACAATGTAAAGACAAGTGAAGGTATAACCTGTCAGTGAATTCCATTTACATAAGTAGAACTGGTTACAATGACATTCCTTTCAAAATCTTGTCAAAAGGGGAATATTGACCGCTGTTTTGTGTGTTTATTTGTTGGTTATCGCCGCACTCAGGAAAACAATCCAGCTGTAAGACGGCGGTCTAAAAATAACCGAGTCTCGACCACAAACCCCGTTAGTCGCGTCTTACAAGCATGGGTTGCTGAGGGCGAAGACTGACCCGGGTCTGGTTTTATGTGAGTGGGTCAGTAAGTATTTACCTTCAATTAACATATTTACAGCAATGGCACGTCGAGGAAACTGATCTGACGGCTACACACATTTTACTCCTGTGGGGAATCGAACCCGGCTCACTGGCGTGACTTTGACCACCGCGATCCATACACGCCATCACCACCATCTTTGGCTAAAACCGGGATCACGCCAACCATGTTTTAGCCCCTGTATCCGTATAAGCATCCGTATCCGTGACACACATCAGTATTTACGTCAACATACGTAGCCCATGTTGCGGACGTCAAGAACGGCGATAATCAAGTAATGTTATAGAAAACAGGAAATAGGAATATAATTAAAGACATACAATATACGAAGTCAACATGTCTTACCTTAAAATAACGCATAGAAGCACTGTTTGTGGACTTTAGCAAGTCCCTCTTTGGGACTAATGCACATATCTATTGCGAGTTTTTTTTTTGTATTGATAAGATGTCTTTTTAGTATTTTGATATGATTTCATTTTTTATCTTATAGACGTTCGAGTAGATGACCATCTCTCAGAAATAGAGTTAGTTTGGCCTTCGCTATTGCATCTCTTGGCTTTAGGAGATCTACGACAGATTGCGGATCTAATTGCAATTAAAACACACCTGTGACGTCATTCTATTGTTTAAACGCTCCATTATGTTTCAGGAATGGAGAGTTGTTTGTCAATTATACTTTATCTTGAATCAATATTTCAATTAATTTACATTTGGAATTGACGGAACTATTTCTTAAATAATTTCAAATTTTGTCGGAAAAGCGGTGCTCGCATCAGCATTGTTTGGACGTGGAATTGTCAATTACGGCGACACATGAAGTTATCGTGTGAAATAAACTATTGAATATTTACATAATTTTGCATAATGCTTAAAAGCTAAAAAATGATATGCATATGTATATAATGTTGTGTTAGAGCAATATATATATATATATTCCAGTGCGGGGCTCTATATGTGCTATAATCCCTGTCAGAATCTATGTGGAAGCGATTGATCAAATACCAGTTTACGACCCAACAAAGCGTGTACCGTGCATGACGGAGCTTGGTGCACTCGCAGCAGCGGCAGTGAACGCATTCCTCGTGCATCACACGCAAGGGCGTCTCATACATGAAAGTATGATGTGTGTCAAGTATGGGAATATCCTCTTGGAGACATCGGACATTCCCCTCTACTTCTTGTTTTAACCGTGCTTTTTGTGACCGAGTCTGTGGCATAAAGTGGCTACTTCAACTTTCCTTTCATTTAAGTTTGAGTATGGCTTTTGGTTTGTTTGTTTGTTGCTTAATGCCCCACTCAGCAATATACCAGCTATATGACGGCGGTCAGTTAATCACCGAGTCTGGACCAGACAATCCAGTGATTTATATCATGAGCATCGATCCACGCAATTGGGATCGATGACATGCATCAACTAAGTCAGCGAGCCTGACCACCCGATCCCGTTAGTCGCCTCTCACGACAAGCAAAGTCGCCTTTTACGGCAAGCATGGGTTGCTGAAGACCTATTCTACCCCGTAATATGTCCAGGTGTTTATGACATCTGTTTTCCACATATTCTACATGTTTGCTCCAAGTGAGGTATTGATCTTGGATCACCCCTACAAAAATTGGTGAGTTTTCGGCTTTGATTGGTTTGCCCTTTATGGAGAGACGGGGTATCATAGCATCTTTATCCCTGCGTTTGAATGGAACTCCCACAGGTTCAGTCTTAGTATATGACCTAGAGATGAGTGTTCCCTTCCCGAAGCCACTTTGATCAGGTTTTTTGTGGTTGCCAGTTTCAAGGGGATGCATGAGCCTTTTAATAACAATGGCTTCCACGTCTTTGCACATGTTTGAAGTGAACGAGATAGGTCGAGATAGGCCTAAGAAGCGTGATAACTGCAGCATGTTTCCATGCTTTTGGGATCTATCCATTGAACCATATCGTGTTGGACTCAGTGAGTAAGCTCTTGGTTTGATGAGTTAGGTTTTTCAATATCTCATAACCGGTTGTGTCAAGACCAGGTGCAGTGCCTTTTCTATGTTGTATAGCATCACCAAACTCTGTCACTGCAAATGGACAAATGTATACCAGATGCTTGCTTTGCGACTGTTTTGATAATTATCCTGTTTGAATTCTTTGCTGCAATTTTTGTTGCTGCTGACAGATGAGAAGTGCTCAGCTTCTGTTGGCCTTTTCTTTGACCATTTTGGTGTTGGCTAACTTGGGCATTTTTGTAGCTCTATGCTTACCCCTGACTGCGTGCATTTTGGCCAAGACTGTTCTAGCATTTGTTTTTTCATTAAGGGACTTGTAATAGGTCTGCCATGACTCTTTTTCAGAATAATCTATGAAGTGTCTTACTTTTAAATTTGTCTTGGATGCTCGGGCATGGGCAAAGTCTGATTTATCTCTATCTCGCTCTCCTAGCTTTTGCTCTTGCCCTGTTCCACCATGGTACCAGAGTTTTGCGGAATTGATTTTTCAGCTGTGGCAATAACTGCTGAGGTCAGTTTGTTTTTTAAAAATCAGGATACCCCGAATAAAGCTGTTATTTATACCACCGATGCTCTTAGAAGTCATGATACCGTCGCATGTTCAATTATCACTTATCTAAACAATACTTACGATGTTGCTAATACACAATGCTGACTGCGTGAATTTAGAGATTACCTCGCAGTTTTGAAAGACTTAGTATGCAGAAATTACTCAAATTACGTAAGAGGTTCCCCGGAGAGTGTGTTTTCATAGAATAATGTTTCCTTCTCTCTCCAGACATGTAGTCTTAACGCTTGGGACATAAAATATGAATAGAAAAAATGATGACGTGTTTTGGAACTATGATATACCCCTGGGCGTCGTAGGGCTTTTGTCCTCAAAATCTTTTAAGTTATTATACATTTATGAGCATTATACAATTATACAAAATACAAGTAATCATGACAAAGAAATGAATGCTAAAAAACACAACAAACATCAAAATACATAAAGGGTTACATGATGTACTGTGTAATGTATTGCTCGGATGCAATGCCCACACACTACTTTGACTGCAATATGTTTGGCTGGTCAAGGATTTAAGATAGTTGTTGTGGACTTGAAGAATGTATATACTAAAATGTGAAGTTAAAATCTTATGGAGTTTACGGGCATTTAGAAAATAAATTCATATGTTGTTGTGAAACCTGGAAGTAGGGAAGATATAGCCACAGATTTGAAGGTTGTCAATAGTGTAAGGTGGTTGAAT